AAGCAAGTGTGCCTCTACCAAAGTTGTGAATTTTATGGCCCCAGGGTCAGGGGTTCTTGTTTAAAGGGGGTGGGGCTCTAATGATTATATAGGGAAATGCATGAATTCTTTGAACATCTTATCCTTTGCCCCTGGTTAATATGCTTATGATCTAATTACATATTTAAGGCCAGGATTTATTTTTTTTAAACCCTCCGCTCAAGGTTTTGAATGTTCAGAAAAAAAAACATTTTTTTTCTTTCCGATGTCAAATTTGAGTCGGGATCGAGATTTCAAATTTATGAACTCGCACTTCCGGTTTTAGGATCTGAGAAGAGCTTGGTTTAGTGTAAAATTCATCGATAAGAGTGCCATTCAAAACGTTTCACCCGTTCAAAAGACAAATAAAATGCTGACGACTTTGTTGCACAATGACATGATGGTGAGATAATTATGTATTCGTTTCAAAAGTAACTGTAAATTATTTTCCTCCCTCAGCCCCAGGTTTTTAACTGCCCGTGATAGCTATTGCATATTGCCAGGGACATTGTTTAGGTATCTATTATAGCTTACAGTCTAAGCATCATTCCTCAGAAAAGGGTTGCTTATGCATCAGGTTAATGAATAAAACTATGGGAGAAGTGAATTCAAATTTGAGGAAGAAATAAACAATAACCTGAAGAAATAAAAAAATTCAAATATTGAAAGGCAAGAATATACAAATATATACAGGCATATAGTATCATTTGTATCAACCAGAAAAATTATTTTACACTTAATTGAAAAAAATGTTGACCCTACTCCCCAATACTCCCTGTCTGTTTTATGATAGGAAATATAATTTTAGGCATCAAGTAAATTTTAGAACAATGTCTACACATTCATATAACACATATTAAAGAAATGAAGATATTTTGAAATATATTTTGATCAACATCACAAAATTTATGTAATACGCCCAAACTGGCGGATGATGAAATAAGCAATTAAATGTTCTACTTTCCTATTTGTAAGCATTATGTGTCCAGTGGTAAGGAGCCTATTAGGATAGCATAAAAAAAGAATGTACCAATGTTAATAATTGATTTATCATAAAAAAAATTTATTTCCTTCTCCTTCGGGACTTTTTTATTCTCATGTTCATAACTAAATCTAAACATAAAAAAATGCTGGCCTTATAATGAAGAAAGGGGCCTCTTTCAAAATAGATAATTTCTCAGGGCTGCGGGGTCAGGGGTACCAGGGGGGTACTTTGACTAAAAATGAATTAATGCTTTGAAATCTGCCCTTTGATAAGCAATGGTGCCTCTTTCGAAATTTGTGAATTTCATGGCTTTTGGATTAAAACACGAACCAAATATAATCACTGGAAAGTTGATACATGATACTCAGGTGACCTATAAGGCCCGAGGGCCTCTTGTTATGTTGTTTTATGGACTTAAATACTGTTCATTATCGCCATATCCCTTCAAGGTATCTAATATTTTTTCTCTTTTGCAAAAGGCAAAAGACTCTTTAACTGTTTAAACATATACAAAAACCAGATGAGAAAAAAACATTCATGAATAACCCTGGTATTATGATTAACTGGATTTTTTTTTCTTTAAAGCTTTTCTACACGAGGTTGTCTTTTTAAGTTATCATTTAAAGTGTGCAGTTTTGTAACAAGAACAAAAGGTACCAAAGAATCCAGTGTGCACTGTAATTGTTTGTTTATTTTGAATTGTGTGAACTTGTGAAAAACTAATAATTATTTTTTTTTAAAACAATAGATGGCGTAAAGGCTAGCCTCCTCTCTGATATTACTAAGCTTAATAAGCTTATCTGACTTTAACAATTATTCCATGAATATAAAAATTTAAGATCAACATTTAAGTGACGTTTCGGGTTTAAAGGCATATTATTGGTTAAATTTTAATCTTCCGTGATGAAAGCTATATATAAAGCTGTGGATATTTTCAAAAAACACTTTATTCCAGAAACGCTTTTGTTAAAAAAAGATAAGGAAGTTAAACCATGGCAATGATGTGGGCAGCGCTCCTTATGTCCGCCATCGTATGTACAAGTTCCCAGTACATTTACTCGAAAGATCGTTGTGCCAGTAATGGAGAGAAAATGTTGCAGATTCGAGATCTTCTGATCAAACAAATTAGGATCCAAGAATCTGTAGATTCCCTCGGGCGGATGGTGAAGAGACTGGAGGAAGATGTTACCAAGACCCATGAAGATGTTCGAATTGTCAGGAAAGGTAAATTTCTCTCTCTCTCTCTCTCTCTGCAGTTTGTCTGGATGTTCATTGATATGATAATTACATAATCATCAATTGATTTCTTTTACATTCGGGTTAAAAACATAAAACGGATTGTCGAGATTACTATTTACATAGACACAACGAGTCTAGCATTTATCTAAAAGATCCCCAAGTGTACTAAGATATGGAGAATCAGAGAGGAGGTTGGTCATATATTTATTCCTTTTTCTTTCAGAGTTACACATATATAAAGATTGCAAGGACCTCTATATAAATGGTAATACAGTATCTGGTGTGTATGAGATATATCCATTATAGGATTAAACGTTCTTTTTGAAAAATTTATCGATGTGTAAACTCTTGACATTTTACTCACAAACTAAATAAAAGTGCGAAGCACTTTTATGTTGAGTTTGTGAGTAAAATGTCAAGAGTTTACACATCGATAAATTTTTCAAAAAGAACGTTTAATTCTTATAATTCCAATATCGAATTTTTATAAAAATATTTAAATTATTTCTCCTTGAGGCCTCCATACAATCCGTTATTTCTGGACGGCGTAGGAATACATTTTACCGTAGAGGAACGTAATCGAGATGAATTTCGACAGAGTTCAACTTAAATTGTCAAAACAATCTACAAATAAACTTATAACAACTAATCGAATGTTGTTTTAGTCAACAAATATCGTAATTATCGAGTTTACTTCAGAATAGTTCGTCTTTGACCATGGCCATGTTGACATAAACAACAACTCTCATAATGAAAGTTGCAGACCGACGACGCCTTCAATTTGCACTTGTTTATTCAAATATTGAGGAACAAATCAACAATATGAATTTGATGCTAATAGGGCAAGAGTTTGAGGTACGTTTCTTTTCCCTGTCAAAACGATAACAGTTACAGACTGAGCTTATTTTCTACGTATGAACGTTGAGACAGCGATTTTTAAAATTCACACTCGTGATCGGACAGTGACATAAACATTTTCACGGCGTCCATCAGTTAGGCAGTCTAGTATGTTGCCAGTTTTGTTTAAGCCCTAATTAAATTTAAAGTTTCTTGTATTCATTATTTAGCCAGAACAGACCCAGAAATGTTTATACGATAACCCAGTAGTGTCATCAAGAAAGTAGTTCTGATTGAAAGAATTTATCGATGTGTAAAAATTTTATGGAACGTGTTTTCGTCCAATCAAAACACAGGAAATCAATAGATAAAATGAAGATTGGAATTATTTGGTAATAACAGCAAGGTCAGCGTCTTCTGTGACATGATGACAGAAGGTGGAGGGTGGACGGTAAGATCTCTCTATCCTTCTCTCAATCCCCCTTTCTCCTTCTGCTATCTTCTCTCAATCTCCCTCTCCCTCCCACTTTCTCTCTCTGCTTTTCTCTCTCTCTATCTAAAGAAAAAGATAAATTAGACTTTACGCTTAATATATAATAATTTTAGTCAATAACATCTTCAGATCTTCTTGCTGAAAACGAACTTGAATGGTATTAGCATGAAACTGGTATTTCATTTCACTTCAACTTCACGTAACTAAGTATTTTTATCGTTTACATGTTAAAAGGAAAGAAGAGAAGGACCGTATAGATAAAAGATTTCATTATATATTCTCGAAATATAGCTACGAAAAACAGAATGAAAAAGGGGAATATTAAGATGAAATTAAGAGAATTAAAATTCATAAGAAAAATTATTATGCTTCAAGGTTATTTCGTATCTGTTTTATCAGCTATAAAAGTTACAAATTGGCCTTTATAGTTTCGCCACAGTCTGTATTGAAATTTGAATGTAAATTTTAAACGTTTAAAAAATAATAGGAATTAGAAATGAGCGGCGAAATGATAAAATATGATGATCATTCCATTATTTTGATTTTTGTTTCATTATATATAAAAGGCAATTCAGAAGCGGATAAGCGGTTCTGTTGGTTTCAACAGAAAGTGGGCGGACTATAAAAAAGGTTTTGGGGACCTAAAAGATTCCTACTGGATAGGTGAATATTTCTTTAACCAATTATTTAATAAATAGAATCTTAGATATATGTGTTGGTCTTAGTTTAAACAACCTTTCTTATTCTATGAGTGGTTATAAAGATCTCTTAATTTATAAATTCATGTACATTTGATACAAAATTAAATTGATTACTGACACATCTCTGCATAATATTTAAATGCATTGGTTGCATTTTATTAAGGCGACCCAGAAATATTTTTTTTTTCTTTATCGTGTTTACGTTTGCCTACTTCAATACAACAAATCGACGCCGTAGTATTAAAAGGTCGTATGTAAATTTTTTTGGAGTTTCAAAATTTGACGTGAATGACAAAAAACTGTTTAGAGCAAAAAATAAAAGGCATATTGTTTGGTTGTTTGATAAATCGTATGAAAGACCCTATTGAATAATAAATGTTATTATTTTGTATAGTTTTTAACAAAGTTTAAAGGAAAATAAAGCAAAAATAATTGAAAATACTTTATAAGATTTATAATTACTTCTGTTAAGGTTAAAATAAAAGTCTTATCTGGTACTTACGACCTTATTTAACTTTACAGGCAAGGTTTCTCCTGCTTTGTACAGGGTTGTATGTACCACTTACGACCTTTTATAATCATTTTTCTATTAATAATATTATGATTATCAGATTATTTTACTCATATCATTTTGATAAAAGAATAACATCTTTTAACGTAGAATATCAATATGGAATAATAGATGTTTGAATAATTTACATACATATTAGTAATATCCAATCATCTGCATATTTTATACAACTATTTTTATCCTAATATGGAAGACTGATTTCTATTTATCCCAAAAATTGGACCTGGAATTCCTTTTTAAACTTATTCCCCATGTTCTCTAAATTTAACCTTAGATAAATGAATGATTATTTTCTCCCAAGCACATGGAGACAGTGGATAACTTGTACCAGCAATAACATACATGTAATACAAAATACACTAAAGCTAGTCGTTGAAATGTTTATTTGAACTAAACTGATAACAACAGCAAAATGAAAAAACAAAAATGATAAAAACCATGTCTACAAAGTGTATTTTTTTTTTACATAATTGAAATTATAATCGCTAGAAATGGTATAATTATCATTCTAAACAAAATTTGACATTTTATATTATGAATCTGTCAATAACATCAAAGAACAGGTTATCTCTTAGATTAACAATCATATGAATTTGTATTGCAACAAAAAAAATTTAAAAATTCAACCCTAACAAACATGCAACTCTTGAATAAAATTGAATGAAGAGGCAGCTCCCTCACAATAATGTAACAATTAATGTATTAACCGGGTAACTAAAAATTTTAACAATAATAAGCCAAAATTTTAACAATAATAAACCAAAATCTTACATAGTGTAACAATATCCGCATTTTAATGGAAAAAAGATCTAAATTAAAAAAGCACTTTGAAATCAGTCACTGACAAATTCGCTAGATGCGTCTAGGACAGGGAAATTTTAATTGTCAATGTCAGATTCATCAGAACCGTTCGGTTCTGGCAAGGCATCTGTATCTCCTTCATGCGGTAAAGCCTTGAAGAAATCCTGGTGAGCACGTGGAATCAAGCCTCTCTGACAGAGTGTTTGAAGATCTTTATATTTTGCCTCAGAAATTGGAATTCTGTGGGTGTACAGCGGTTTCAGTGGATACTGATGCAACTGCATACAATCAACCTTACTTTTTCTTTTTCTTCCTTGTAAGGGCATTGCTCGAAACTCATCATCAAACTCATACTTGAAGTAAATTGTGTCTGGGTTTTCTTTCTTGTATTGGAAAACATGAATTTTATTCCAATGCACATTTTCTCCTGTGGAATCCTTTCTACGATTGCAGCTCACCACCTTCTGTGCACACTCTTTGAATTCCAACACCATTTCATTGCCTAGTTCCTTTACCTGGTACTTTGGATCTTTGCGCTTTGCATTTTTGATCGCTGTGATCCAGTCAGATGTGGTGAATATTTCTGATTTCTTCGTTGCACATTCTATTGTGGCATGCACACTGTCCCCCTCCATTTGAGAGTGACCACGCTCAAAATAGTAATGAGTCAAGACATTTATAGGAAGATTAACAACAGTGTACAAACACATGGTGCTGAATTGTAAGTTCCGTTGTTGTCCTGTACAACTGTCGGAAAAGTATACAATTTCTTCCTTTGGCCCCACACTCTTGTTAAATAGAAACAAACATGTGGCAATTTCACAACTTCCTCTTTTGGCATCTGTTTCGTTCCAGATATTACAGACAACAGATTTAGAATTCATATCATAAATTGTAAAATTGTAGGTGGCCAACTTTCTAGAGTAGTAGGCATCAGATACAAAAATTTGCGGTGTAATAAGAACCTTTTGTAGATCAAAATTCAAAACCATAACTTGATCATTAGCTCTTAACTTATCAGCCTGTTTCTGTGCTCTGGCATTTTCTTTTCTCTTTAAGTGTTTCTTGTGCTCTTCAGATGATGCCTCCTTTTCTGAATCAGGTAACAGTTTATAAGCTTCACAAATGGTGCACAGATCTTTTTTCGGCTTATGAAAGCCCAAATTAAATTCTTCCCCAAATATTCTATCATACAGCCAAAATTTCTTTGGTTCCATTCCATCTTCTGAACATTTTTCCCGATAAAGTTCGTACATTTTTGATATAGATAAATCTTTCGAGAGATATCTTCTTTGAGTGTTTATTCTACAATAATGTGAGCTTACAGTTGGGAAAGACCGTATGTGTTCCCGAATGTACTCTTTAGAAGGAGAACGCAATTTGGCCAACTCTTTGCAGCTACCAAGAGTCCTTTTTAGGGTGTCTCACTCACATAAGAGCGGTGTGTCGATTGCATGCCATTCTCCAGATATTGAAGATTGAAAATGGTCAAAAATTCTCCATTTGTCAATTTCTTTGGTGTAAATAAGAAGCTATTTTCCTCCCTTTTGCCGTCATCTAAGTTTTATGCGCCTGAGTAAGTCATGTTGTCCGTTTTCTTACCTTTCCAACGACACCAAACTCGTCTTGATCCGATAATAAATAAGAAATTTATGAGCTTTTGAAAATTCCACTTTGTACGGCCTAACTTTTGAATGCCATCAGGGATTCTATTCATATTTGGTATACGGCTATATAAAAATGAAATACAGGTCAAGGTCGATATTGGTTACTTTCCAGAAATTCCTGGTGGAGTTATGCCCCCTTTTGCACCAAATTGGTATCAAATTCATGGTTTCCGACTGATAACTTTTGAATGCCTTCAGGGAGTCCATTCATATATGGTTTACAGCTCTATAGAAATGAAATACAGATCAAGTTCGATTTTCGTTACACTCCACTAATTCTTGGTGGAGTTATTCACCCTTTTGCACCAAATTCCTATCAAATTCATTGTGTCTGACTGTTAACTTTTGAATGCCTTCAGGGATTCAATTCATATTTGGTACACGGCTATATATTCCTGATATACAGGTCAACTTCGATTTTGGTTACTTCCACCTACTAGTATTCTTGGCGCAATTATGCCCCCCTTTTAACCAAATTCCTATAGAATTCATGGTTTCCAACTGATAACTTTTGAACACCTACATAGCTCAATTCATGAGGAATGTTGCTTTCGAAAATTCCGCTTCATCATTTTACTAGATACAGTAATACAGTAGGACCTCATTAAAACATTTTTATTGGGAGCCATCTTATTGGCCCATGTTATTAGTAAGGTCGCGTTATATCGAGGTTTTATATACATAAATATGTTTAAATGAATAGAAATGGGAGCCATACAACAACTGCAGTATATTCAAACCCGTGTTACATTGACGTGTGTTATATCAAGGTCATACTGCAACCCTTGCCAGTCAGTATTGCTCAGTGTAGGCATCTTCAGTGATTGCCCGCAATCACAAAATCTCTAGTTTCTTTACCTTATGCATTCATATTTACTAATATATATCTGTTTTCAGCAATGTCGATTCCCAGTATGAACATTAAAAGCCCAGAAGCTAGGCATTTCTGAGTGGCATTGGAGATCGGTGATTCCTGTTTGCATCAAAGAAGGCGAGAGTGAATATGATATAACAGACTGGCTGAGTCTGGGCGGGCACTGTCAAACGAGGAGAAGGCGAGATTGAATATGATATAACAGATTGGCTGGGTCTGGGCGGGCACTGTCAAACGAGCAATGCTGAACCTGTTCCTGATCAAATAAAACAGACTATTACTAGGATCATGAAGCCTCTTGAATCCTTGTACTTTGACAAAACAACAGCATCATGGAACTACAAGACAGATTGTACCGATAAGTGTTAATGGTGATTCTATGTTATACAGTAGCTTTAGCTCTATTTTGTGTGAGAGTTAAGCCCCCTTTTAACTTAGAAATTTGACGAAATATCCTTGTTAGCGCTCGAGCAAATTCATTTATCATCCGATTAGCATAAAATTTATACAGTAGCTTTAGCTCAATATCTCATGATAGTTTGAAGATGAGTTCTGACCGAATATTTTTGTGCGAGTTATGCCCCTTTTCCTCTTAGAAAATTGACGAAATATCCTTGTTAGCGCTCTAAATTTGAAAAAAAAAAGTTGAATTCAAAATATGTATAGGAATATTGCCTTTGAAAACTCAAACAATAGCAGAAAAAAATGGGGGGGGGGGGGGGGGCGTCGGGGGATATCGGAATGCTGTTCTCATTTTCTATACACACCAGACTTGGAACTTTACAGCAATATATTTATATTAAAGCAAGTTAAAAGGCTATTTGTATTCTTATTCTGCCTCCATATTCACTTTTAATTGTTGAAATTCAAATATTGTTAACTGAGTTAGTGTCACTGCTAGACTACACTACAGAAATGTGAGGGTACTGCCTAATATACAGCAACCAAATTCAACATATGTTGATTCTTTGTTCTTTCTATTCTTTCCAGGTGTATTATCCATAGACCAACAAACAATTACAGAAGGCTTTGTCTCGGATATGTCCAACTCCCGGGGCAGATCAATGATATTTAGTCTCCTTTCACGACTATTCGGCTCAGACACCTCAGTCAGAGTGGTGAATATTTGTGGTTCCTCAACTGTCAACGAGCCATCAGTTAGGGAATTAGCCTTTGAAGTTATATTTGAGGAAAGTGAGTACTACTCTTCGCCATCGGAATCTCCTTCCAAGTTGCAAAGTGAATCTACGGTGACAAGACGTTCACCTCGCATTTCACAGAAAGCTCCTTTATTAAAGGACAT